GCACCAGCCTGACTCACCCTGGCTTGCTGGCTAAAATCCTAAAATTTGGCTTCCCATTGCGCGAGGAAGGAACCACAAAACAAAGTGACAGCTGTGGGATTTGAGCCCACGCAGCTTGCGCTAGTGGAACTTGAGTCCACCCCCTTAGACCACTCGGGCAAACTGTCCTTGGGTGCAACTGCATCCAACAAAGTCAACTGTGCCTCTTCCTGGTGTTCTGGGAGTCCTGGCGAGAAACGTGGTTTGAAAGAGCTCAGCTAATGTGGTCAGCTCCTTAACCCAACTGCACTGCTTGGCTGTCACTTGTGCAGGCATGATGGCTCTCCAGTGTTAGCTTGCGCTGTGACAGTTCCAGCAGCGGCTTTGCAAAACTGAGAACCTGTCCTTTTTTCTGAGAATTGTGTCTGGTAGCCGGATAACCGCCAACAACCTTCAGGTGCACTGGCCTGAAAAGCAATTTAAGCAAAAGAAGGAGGTAGCCAGGCGAATTTTGAATCAGTGGCCCCTTCCTCAATCATTTGCTTCACCTATCCCTTGCTGCTTCTTTCATTTGTCAAGAATTTACGTTTCCACGATGCCCGATCCCTTGAATTGACTGTTAGGCCAGTTTGACAAGGGGAAAGAAAATGGACAGTCCGGGGATTGAGCCCGGGGCCTCCCGCATGCTGAGCGGGTGTGATACCACTACACCAACTGCCCTTCTGTCATAGGTGGAAAGCTGTGAATCAAACAATCAATCCTTGGGAAATAGGGTTGGTGGGGAAAGAAGGAAACTGGTTCTTTGTGTTTTAAATTCAGTTGGGTTTAAGGTCGACTTCTTGGCCCGCGATGCTCTCGCAATGAAAAGAGTTGGGGGCTGGGAGCAGTTCTGGTTTGATACGATCGTGAATACCTGTTCGAGTCGGCGGGCAAGGAAGACCACATCGTACATGTCTGTGAGCCGTATTTCTCCGGAAACCCTCCGGGCTTGGTATTAGTAGTTGGGGGCTCCCGCCGGACCGAGTACTGTAGCAAAAAGGCCCGTTGGGGGGGCTACACGAATTTTCCTTCCTAAGGCTTCCTCGTATTATAGAGAGAGTAACTTATCGCGCAACCCCACTTACCATTGGGGGGGGATCCTACGAAAAGCTTCTGGCCGAGCCGGCTCCGATTCGGCACGTCTGAACGAGGACGACGAGATCGACGTGAATTTCACGGAGTTCTTCGTTAAAGCTCCTGAGAAGGGATCGAGCTATGATTCTAAGTTTCACGTTTGCACAATTGAATCTCTGAGCGGCCTGGGGAAATTGACCCCCGCCCCCCATCGACAATCGTCGCGGCGGTCGTCCCGACCATCCTCACGGCGGCGATAGCTGCCCCACGCCACCGCCCTGACCGCAGTCCTGGCGACCGCCCTCCCGTCTGCTGCTTGCATCCATACTCGGAACTGATTCACCTTGTCTAAAACAAGGTGACTAGTGCTGTCTGTGATACCAATCATCAATGTTCTGGTCGCCCGTATCGCCAACGTCGACTTTGTTCGGAAAGGCCCCGAACACATCGCTCATGGCAAAGCGTGTCTTCCCACTACGACTTGACCCCCCACAACACCAAGATGGTGCCTCGGTCGTCGAAGGGCCAACACTCAGATGCCGCTTTCAGACGTGAAATGTCAAAACAACAGTTTTACCAGCGCTTTAGGCAACCGCTGCGCCTGTGCCTCCAACACCAACTCTTTCCGCCATGGACGTTTGGGCCGATGCTGGGCTATTTTGGTCCAGCAGATTGACTGAATCCAAGTCAATGGCCTTGGCTTTTTGAGAAGCTCCAACTGCGTCGGCATTGCGTTTCCGCGTAGAAAACCCGACCAAACCCTCAGCGGCATAGTCCACCCACTGATCGCGGATGATTTTCCCACGCGCTGCCAAACCATCCAACCATTTGTTCTTCACTCTGAACTTGCGCTGCATCGGTCTCGACAAAGAGCGTGCCATACTTGTTGGCTTGGACATAAAAGTGGGCCCTGTCGCAAGAAGCTCCTCGCCCTTTCTCTGTTGAATCTGCGTCCCCGATTGCGTCTTAGTAATTTCTGCTGACGTTGGGGGTGATCGGCACGCCGGCCATTTGTGTATACAAAACCCCCAAGACCGGTTTCATCCAAATCTGCACACAGCTCCCGCTACCCTGGTACAAGCCACAAAACTTCAGAAGCGTCGATGCCTAACTTGCAAGCCAACACACATCAACCTCTCCAGTGACCATGCTGCCCCAGGGTGACACGCACAAAACTGCGCAAGGGTGACACGCACAAACCACGAGATAAGCATAGCCACTGCGCAAGGATGACACGCACAAACTACGAGATAAGCATGGCCACTGCGCAATGGTGACACGCACAAACCACGTCTCAAGTCTGAGCACCTGCCCTCCCAGAGACGGCCAAGACATAGGCACGCTGAAACCCGCACTTGCCTCACAAACACGAGCGGTCCTGGGAGACGTGGCCTGGTACCCGCGCAATATTTTCTCGTGGCCGCATTGACGTCGATTCTCTATGCGTCCATCTCGCACCGTGGAATGGCACTTGTATGCATAGACCCGTTTTCGCGCTGTTCCTAGGTTGAGCACAGCACCCGCAGCGACCGTAAATTGGTGTCCACAGTGGTATCGTTGTCGATGCGTCCATCCTTTATAGGCGACGTGACTCCTCCTTGCTCTTTGCTGTTGTTACAGCACCCGATGTGGCATGTTTTTAGAGGACCCTGAAGACGGGCTCGTGCAGGAAGCGCATTTTTCAGCGGTGGTGGGGCAACAACAGCCCAAAGCGCCGTTGCCGATGACCGGTCTTTCATTGTTGGTTGGTGTGTCGGCAATGATCAGTCAGTGAAGAGCAACCGACACCCGGCAGAACGACCGATGGTGATAAAAAGGGATTGTCTCAGCTGCATTCTGATGCCACAATCATAGCAAGGCCGTGCTCTTTGTCAGCACTGAGCAGGCCGTTGTAAACGTTATTGCTTTCGGAGTGCTCAAGGCAGACGTTCCCATAATTGAGCTGGGGTCCATGTTGGAACAGGCGCCGAGTGACAACCACTTTCATACAATAATCTGCAAAGCGCATGAATTTGCCATCACCCTAAACCCTGAACCCTATAAAACCCTTCAGACCCTAACCCGAAACCCTCAACCCAACCCTAAACGCCAAACCGCAAACCCTGAACCGTAAACCTCAAACCTAAACCCTCTTCAGAGTGGATGAAGGCGAGTACCAAATGCCACAGTAGCATCCCTGGCCCCCCAACTGAGTGATTTTTCCAAACCCCCCTCACCGCCCTGGCCTGCAAATTAGGGTCCCTTGTGAATCCCCCAAAAAAGTACGGCACCCTTATGAGGACCCCAAAAGAGACCCCAGAAGCCAGCTTTGACTTTTGTCTGGTGCCAAAAATAAGATCGACTGTCTTGAGTTCGACATGGCCCTGTAAGATTGACGACCACGCCAGGATGTATCATCAAGATTCGGGGTTGACACTCCGCAGATCCTTAAACACCTCTGCGCACCCTCGATGTACCCTGGAAGGGCCCCTAGACAGGTCCATACGGGGCTCATACTTTTATCCTTAGAGAAAGTGTTGAGCAATGAACTCAGGATTTAATCGTCTATCGGTCGAATGCACAAATAAAACAATTAGAAGGTTCAAGGTAAGTCAAAACCCAAACTCGAGTTTTTGTTTTTCAAGTTTGGATTCATTAGTTTTCTGCTGAGTGTTTTTGGATTGGGGAGGTGACCCAAACAACGCGTGCGACCACATGTCCTCGATGGAATTGCCTTGAAGGTGTTTTGGTCGGCCCGCATCCTGAAAAGGGGAGGGAAAGGTCGTTGTCAACCTTGGAGGTGGCCCAATCCCTTATGGCACAGACGAGGCGAAAGCCAGAGACTTCATCATCTCCTTGCTGGTGTTGGGCGCTTGCAGAGATGCCACGCCTTTGGGATTGTCCAAGAACCATTTTTGTGAGGAGCCTTCAGCATGCAATCTGCACGGAGGCAAAATCGACAAGCTGCATGCACGGGGTGTGAGGTGAGCTCCTACGACCACGCGGGCCAGGTCTTGCAAAGGTTAGTTGAGACCAAAGGATGCAAGCAAAATCTGCGGGCAAGGCTAACCCGACAGGTACGGTCAGCACGGGAGGAGACGACACATGACCAGATGCGGCGACCAGGCCACCGTGAAGCTCTTTTGCAGGAAAGGCAGCCTGGCTCGATATCGGATCCGTCACCTGGACATGTCCTCCATCCACACGTTTTCCTCGAACCCGAAAACAGTGGTGGTGAAAAAGGGGCCAACCTGCACATCTGACTCCCCTTACTGGCCTCGACTCGAAAGGGTTCCAGGAGGAAGAGCCAAATTGAAAGCCAACGAGTGGGCCAACACTGGTAAAGCCAGGAACAGTCTCGTCCCGGCGATTTTCGGCGGAGCCCCAATCCTAGCCCAAAAACTTTCTGACCCCGTCCATGGCAGCTAGCGGAAGGCTGGGAAGGGCACATTCGCTCCGGCACTCCAAAGCACCAACAGCCATACGCTTTGTAGGCAGAGGAGGACGAAGAGGAGTGGCATGCCGCATGGACGGGTTTTAAGGAGGGGCTTGGCAGCCGCAGCCAAATCCTGACCATGACCACTCATGCCAAACAAGGAGGTGGAGGGGCAGCCCGGAATCCAAGCCCCCACCAATTGGCCGAAAAACCTGCAAGAATGTTCGCAAGGGTCTCGGTCTGAGCCAGCATTGTTTGAAAGGTACCGTTTCGCATTCACCACTTCCTGTACAGAGCAAGAAGTCCTTAACCTCAGCGCGTTCCCTGTGCTTAAGGATCTGGCCGAAATTTGAGATGCTACCTGTCATTCGTTCCAAATTGGTAGCGGGGCAGGTGCATTGCGTTCACTAGTGTTTCACGGGTCGTCTTCAGGATCCGACGTATCCGCCTCCATCTCCTTCACCCTCCCATTACTCCATTGTCACTAACAGCACTAGCAACACTCCATCACCCCAACTACAACTTCATCAAACTCATAACCAACATTTCTTGTGTTTCTGTTCCGATGGCTGCTCGCGCGGACAGAAAACAGTTCTGACTCTGACTGACGGGCTTGTCCTTCCAGTACGAAGCTGTAAGATGAGAAAGTCACGACGCACTGGTGCGCACGGAAACCTTGACAGCACAGCAGGCGCAACGGATGTTGCAAGGTCACGTGCATTTGACAGATAAGATAAACCAAGGAACTCCCCCATGCCACTTCACAGTTGGAGAGACTCACAACATCTTGAGGATGCCGATTCATTTGCAGCGCGAGATCCAAGTTCCACTCCAGCAGTTGCTCACCTGAAACCTGCCAGCATGCTTGGCTTTTTTGATACTGTCACGACTCAATCTGCTGCAGTGTGCCTGTTGCAATTGCTGCTGCTGTCTTGAGCCTGCCAGTTCTCGGAACAAGCGCATAGCAGGCGCCTAGGTCAAACAGAGCTGCACCAGTGCAGCACAATAGTTCTGGGCCACCACACATCTTTGGCATGCAGACTTCCAGCTGGACCTCTCATCTCAAGTGTCTTGCTGCAACCACTGCTAGCGTGGCTGCTGCTAACGATCTCAGAGATTGGCAAGGTACTCGCCGAAGTGCCCGCCACAGCCTGCAGCATATCACATTCGTGACCACTGATCCTACTGCCACCTGTCCGAGACTGGTCTCTGATGACATCGCCAAGACGCAGTTCCAGCAAAAGCTGATGCAGCTTCGGATCCTTGTGCAGAAAACATCGCGGACCGACTGCTCTTGCACTTTCGGAATTGGGCTCCATGCAGGACGCGACAGGATGAGCGTCTCCACCAGACGAGATGCTCCAGGCTCAATAGAACCAAGCAGAAGCTCCTCGTGATCGAGTTCTCGAAAACTGGAAGCTATGCCCAGAGCTCGTGCTGCTTGAAAGGAGTGTAGACATCCGGTCCTGGCTTGCTCGTACTTCTGTTGATGTTTCTTCCAACATTGAGGTTAAGAGATCTGCCAGTGCTCGTTGGGCTCGTAGCCTGCTAAAGTCAACACCTCCCTCCGGTGACCGTGTCAAGTCAGAAAGACTGTGATGCGTTTGCAGACGAGTGGCACCACGAAGGAGACAGAACTGGACAGCAGGCCTCCATTCTGCTGTGGCGAGAAGTAGGCAATAGCAGCATGTCGATGCTCAGCTTGTGACTTGATGACTTTCCCAATGTCGCCAGCGAGGTGCTCGCAGCACAAAGCAATGCACCTGCGAGCTGCTCCAACTTTGGCCGCCCTTTTGACTTTGAAGGTTCACAGATTCCCAGATTCCCAGGCCTGGCCTGGCAGGCCTGGGATGGCCAGCAGCGTCTCTGCCAGGGGCAGCGACGGAAGAAGCTCCAGCAACAAGGATGCCAGAGACCTTACCAGCTCCGCGAGCCTTGGCATTCGAGTCATTCGAGTCATTCGAGTCTTGCCACTGCAAACTGTCTCAAAACTTGCGCTGTGCGACGACTGCTTCTCCGTGAAGTCGGTGGCTGACGGCGAAGAACCTGCCAACATGACCACTGCGCGTCAATGTCCAATCCCCTACCTGTCGCCTTGAGAACCAGCTAGCAGGGCATCATCAAGCATCCTTACATTCATCTGCAGGGTGGGTTGAAGGCAGCTGCATCTTTCGAACATTTCTCTGCTGAGATCCTTACTCGCCGAATGCAGCAACGGCAAGCAAAATGGAGTGCTGCAGCCTTTAGATGGCGGGACATCCGAGCAGAAAACTCAAAACACGTTCTGGAACTATAAATCAGCTATGAGAGGCTGACTTTGTCAGCAACAGCGTGTCCTGCAGCAAATTCAACTCTGGATGGGCTACAGCGGCATCATACAGCAGCAAGAGATGTGCCTCATGTAGTGCTGCAGTCATGCCTGCGCAGAATGGGTGCTGACCCACAATATTGATTGCTGGTACATGCAGCCTTGCATGTGCAAGCACGTCGCGCCGGTGAGTGCCTGGTGATGTCTCGCCACGACCGATACTCATTCAGGTGAAGTAATTATGGTTACACAACGATGGAAAAAATGCGGGGAATCAGCAACTGAGGTCTGGTCATAGACGGCCACAGAGGCTCGATCCCACTGCGATCGGTGACTCGCCTAGGGCAGTTCAGCAACCCACATCCCCAGACGTCCTTTTCCGCTCGTCGTCTTCAGGGCGGACATGCAGCTCCAACGTATGCTCCAACTTGCGTCCCTAAACAAACCCGTCTTGGACATGCCGTCTATGTTCTGCATTGGGAATGCTTTGCCGCCAGCCTCAGCAATCAGTCCAACTAGTCGGTTTGGTACATCACCCATCTCGTGGTCATCCTGCCGAGACTAAAGCCACAACTCTGGATGCAGCCCGCAGAGCACAGTTCCGACGTCCTGGAAGTGAGCCGCTGTATTCCATGAGGTGATGTTTTCGAACAATACCTTCCAGCAGGCTTCAAGCTGGTTTAGAAAAATGGGATTGAGCATGGGGAGCATGGAACCTCCAAGTCTAATTCGTTGGATCTGCAAAGTACCTGCACCACTTGCATGCGTTTCTTGCGAGGCCTGGTTTTGGGCATCCATCCTCGGCCAGCTCTGCAATGCCGACCTGCAGAATCTCAAACCAAAGCATGTCCTCATCAGTTTTTGCTTCAGCTGTAGCAGCCATGTCCGTCCAAGCGCAATGCTGGAGCTGATATGCCAACAAGATCCTGACAGAAGGAAATGATTGTGCTGGCATGTACAGGCACAATGCCGCACCTTTTCAGCCATGCCAGGCTACACTCATCCAAAGATTGTCTTGTTTTGCCAAATGCACAAATGCGGCTAGACTGCTTTTGGCGAGAAGAGAAGATGTTGGCCTAGCCAGATCAACAAATTACACACATCAGCATTGCCCTGCCTGAAGGCCGCTTCTTGAACCGAGATGCAACGCAGCGTCGGGAAACTTGCATTGAATGAGTGGTATGAACGGAAAACGCAATCCATCCATGCAAATGCACAAACGCTGACCCCCGACGAGAGACATGAAGCGAATGATTTTAACTGCATGTGCTCAAAGCCTCCACATCTTCCACCTCAAAAAACCTTGACTCCTGTGTGTGCCAATACATGTCCTTTCGTACTGGTCGCACCTTTCCCACGACTGCTCCACAAAGTTAAAAGCAAGTGTACTGCCTTTCCAGATTCTCCTGAGGGTACGGTGACACTGCGGCAAAGCGAGCCGGATTTCGTTTCAGCCGCATCATCGGCAGACATTGTGGCCTGCCTTTTGCAAGCTGTCTGCCCACAAGCCCAGCCAGCCACTTAGTTTGGAACTTAAGTCCTGTGTTGCAGCTGAGTTACTCTTCAAGTGGCAAGCTATGTCCAGGGAACCATGCACTGCTTTGGTGCACTCAGCGGGGGTCAAAAAGCCATAGCTGTCCTCTGCTCCATAGACTTGTGATGGAGAACTGCAGGCGATTCCCAGTCCGTGCTGGCCAGGAGCATCAGTGTAACTTACAGGATTCACTCCTGTTGTCTACCGGGTACTTGTAGGGTTCAGCACTGACTCTGAAGACGAGAACGAAGCAGCACACGCTTCGATGTTTGGTTTCCATGCATTGGTACAGAGCAGCTGTCCATCAGTCGAGACGGTGACTATAGAGTTTGATTCAGAATGAGGTACTGTTGGCTGATGGAGAGCTGCTGAGTGAGGCTATCAGCGTCAGCCACCACGCCTGGGTGTCCACTCCACTCGACACTTTGAATCTTCTAATGCATGGTTTCCGGACACGTCTCCAGGTACCTGTTAGAATGCAGCTGGGAGTCAGCATTGTCAACTCTCTGAGCAACTCCTCAATTGCCCAACAAAGTTCTGCGGGTAACTTTGCTTTCAATGAGTGATTCAAGCTGACACGTCCCAGGGTCTGGTGCACCCAGCCGCCAACGAGGATCAAACATTACCTTTTGCAGTCACGGATTCTGCAACAAATGCTGCGAAATGGCATTAATACAGATTACAGATTGTGTTCACACCTCTCACTCTTCCCTCGATTGAACATGTTGAGGCATGGAAAGCCTCGAATGAGTTAACGCTTGCCGGCACCATATCCTATAGGCGCGTGACTTGAGCTCACACTATGCCACTCTTCCCGGAAGCTATGTCAGCCATGCCCACAAGTAGCAGCCTTGAGTTCTGTCTTGCATGCCTTTGTCAGCTGGGCCGCACAGCGCCCAATCAGAGACACCATCTGCGGAGGAGTGCCAACTGCCACGTCTGGAGGTCGTTTCTCAACGAGGATCCTGAGTACGGAGTACGTCACGGATGGGATGGTGCCTGCCTGCCCGCGTCAAAGCATCTGCTTTGTGCCAGCGGAGCGGCCTTGCAGTTAACTGCGGCATCGTTTGGCAGTCTGCATAGGGAAGGGTTCCTGCGAAAAGCTCCTCAGCTGTGCTCTTATTGAAGCCTCTTGGAAACTCAATCAATTTGTCAATTGCAGTCACGGGACAATCAAGATGCAACCAGCAGCCCAAATGTCGACTTTTTCCTGAGACTTCCATCTGTCTGCAAGGTATGGTACAGAAGGTGTGTCTATGAATCCACCGCGTGGTAAGCATGACAGGAAGCGGTTAGCTTGCCGATTTTCGCGTCGTAGCATTCCGGTGCCATGTAGCGTGGAGAGCCACCTTCTCCATCGAGCTTGCGGGCAATGTGGGTTGACCTGTAGCTGTGACAAAGAATTCTGCACGACCCAGAAGACAAAGGCGGTAAAAGCTTCCCTCTGTCGGTCGCCCCCCGACTTAGTGGTCGACTCCATGCACATCTGGTGAGCCAGACCAAAATCGCAAATCTTGGCATTCTGACTCGAGTCCAACAGGATGTTCATTGACTTCCTCAAAAACACTCGGAGTGCGACTTTGTAAGGAAGCTACAACGGCAAAAGCGCCCATCGAACAGGCGCAGCAGGTCAACTTAAGGCAAGAGTCAAGTCCCTGTGTACCACCCGCTGTGAGTGCAGGAACGACAGGCCCTGCCATTGTAGCGCAGCTGTTATCGTGTTTACACGTGAAGCTCGCTTGCTGTTTCCATCTCCCCCGCTTGCTCCTCCGCCGTCTGACATGCAATGGTCCATCGCTGCCGCGCAGAAAGCGGCACCGTCTTGCGAGGCCCGAATAAGCAGTCATGCAGCGAGCCGCCGGACATATACTCCTGAGATGCAGCAGGCAGCATTAAGTCACTCCGCATACATGACGGCAGCAGCAGCGTGCGATGTTGACGTCTAGTTTGCCATGCTCACACCAAATGTTGCAAAATGAACCAGTTCTGCCCAGGGTTCTGTGACTACAAGCAACAGGGGTGGCTGCAAACAGGCACCGATGAAGCGAACCAGCCGAGGGTGTCTGAGTCTTCGAAGTGCATCAATCTCCTTTTTCATGGCCTGAGGGAAGGGTTGAAGGCACACACGAAGAACAGTTGGGGCTACGCTGCAGCAACTGGTCATTCCAGTGACTGTGCCTCCAAGTGTGCCACACCCGAAATTCGCTTGACGGCCACCTTCGTCAGGAGCTGGTTGCATGGATGTCTGAATTATTCGTGTGCAGGCATCAAGTTGAAAGACAAATCTCTGGTGCCTCTTGTCCTTTCCAGCGACCTTGGAAGACCTGCGCTGAGCCACCAGCACCTACGAAGCAAGCACAGAGCAAAGGAAAGCATCCCGGACGGCATTGCGCCTAACTGTGGTCCCAGGATCAAGTGCTCAGGCTGAATGAGTTCGCTCCAGCCTAAGATTTTGTGGAATACAAATTAAGACTAAAACGAACTGTGCCTTCGCACAGTGCAGCGCAAGCGAGAGGATGATGTACGTTTTCTGCTCCCTACGTTGACCTGCAAGGTCGAAGCTTCAGGGAGACCACTTTGGGCACCTCTTTGGGTTGCCTGAAGCTGTGACTGACAGGCGCAATGGCCTCTGACCGTTGGCGAGCACGGACAAGGATTAAATGCAGGTGCAGCCTTAAGCTGTCAACCTATGTACAGCACTGCAACAATGCCGGTACCGGTTCAGAATGTCCAGCCTCTTGGCTGTGTATCAGGTGGTACCCTGCCGATAACACCTCGCCAGACTCAGCGACCATCAAGGAATATGCCCACCCCGCATCGACCGCTGCGATTCTTTCAGATAGTACCATTTGTCTTGGCGTAGGCGTCCTGTCCCAGCTGCCAATGCCCAACTGTCCATAGCCGTTGTCGCCGGCTGAGTAAACATCACCGGACTCCAGGAGGACAAGAGAATGAAAATCTCCAGCAGCCAACGCTTGCACTGGAGCATCCAGAAGCATCTTTTCTGGCGTAACTTGATTCTGAAAAGACCCGAGGCCAAGTTGACCATGCAAATTGCTGCCGACAGCAGCAACTTCTCTTGTGTCCAGCAGCAGCAAAGAGTGATATGTACCAGCTGCTATGGCAACCACCTTCGAGGGTGCCAGAACCTTCTTTGGTCTTGGTTGGTCCTGTGTATTACCAACGCCCAGCTGGCCGTCAAGGTTGTCACCAGTAGCATAAGCGTCTCCGTTCTCCAAGAGTACCAGAGAATGAGTGCAGCCCGCTGCGATGCTCCTTGCTCTGCCCGTCAGCTGCATCTTTACTGGCCGAGTGTGGTCGGCAGGAAAAACAATGCTCCCCACTCCCAGCTGTCCGAAACTATTCAGCCCCACTCCATAAACAGTCCCGGATTCCAGCAACAGCAACGAAAACCAGCAGCCTGCAGCTGCAGAGATCGCCTTGGATCCGGCGTCCAAGTCCATCTTGACAGGCACCGAAAACCCCTGCGTGCCCCCGGTTCCCAACTGGCCGTGGTTGTTGTCGCCCGCTGCGTAAACATCACCAGACTCTGTGATCATCAGCGAGTGGGTACACCCAGCTGCAACCGCCTGTTCAGCATTTTCTGGCTAATCCGCATCCTACACCTCTGCGTGAGTGCCTGTACACACAGCTGCGACAAAGCCCCCTCCAGGCCTTTGCGAAATGCAACACGGAAAACCGCAACCGGCCTTGACTTTCGCGCTGATGACCACCCGCACTGCAGCATTCACCTCCTCTCAATCTACAGCCCTGTCAACAAGAAGCGAGCCCACTCTGGCCAGGGCACCAACACACCTAAATCGTGCCGACTATCGCTGCAGACCCAACTCGTGGCTTCGGCTTCCCGTCCTTCTTATGACCTATGCCAAGCTGCCCATGCCGATTATCACCAGCAGCAAACACCTCTCCATTCTCAAGCAGGATCAACGAATGATCTCCACCCGCAGACACAGCGGTCACCTGAAGGGACCGTCGAAGGTTTTCTTTTCGGCTTTGTTTGGAACTGATGAAAGATCGGGCTCCTCCTGCGAATCCCAGACCCTCCAGTTCGCCTCCTTCCAGCACCTACAGAGTTGACTTCTTTGTACACCCGAGGCTTCAGCTCCCTTGCAGTGTACCGGAACCTCCACACCAGGTTTGACTCGGACAACCCACAACTCTTTATGTTCACTCTTTTGCCCATGTATGTTTCCAGGCTCCGCACCTGCCAAAAACCAAAACCCACCGAACACGAAACACGTTCCTGCAATGGCAGTACTGTACATCAATCAGGCCCACTCCTTGAAGGCCGCGCCGACACGCAAAAGCAAGATGGTGGGCACGAGAAACATCATGGCTCACGCTCAGGTTACGATCTAAGAGCCCGCATCGGTTTTATTGGCACGGAGAGTCAGCAGCAAAAGCATCAGGTAAGTGCACCAAGACAGAGGCC